TGGACTACTAGGCTTTTGAATGGTACCAATATTGGTGTGAAGTGGGGATGCATACGTTTGAAAGTGCTTGTCGCGGGTGGTGCGATTTATTTGCTGTCGAGTGTAGTAATAACGGAACCTAAGAAAAATATGACGTAACTACTTACCTTCTATATAATATTTCCTTAAGTGGTCCTATGTTCGGTTCTCGTTGTTGGTAACTTAGGCCTTTTCTGTGTGCCTCCCTTTACAGGGTGGAAACGATAAGTGATCTCACTCGATTATTTGTAAACTACACAAGATATCCAAAAACTGGTTACTGATCCTGAAAGTGCTTCCCGAGCTCTATCTAACGGTACCAATAATAGGTTACAAAATAAATGGATCTATCCGAAAATTCAATGTTTCCAGCTTCCATACATTTAGTAAAACCACATAATATTAAAAACTATACAAGATATCCAAAAACTGGGTAAGCACGTACGCGGTAAGCACTTTCAGGATCAGTAATCAATTTTTCGATATCTTGTATAGTTTAGAAATAATCGAGTGAGATCACTTATCGTTTCCACCCTGTATAGTATACCTACCTACTTACACCAAAGACTTTTAGCTACATCTTTTACTGCTTTTATACTACTAACTATACCTACAACCTACTGAAATAATTACTGAAGATTTTTTTTCTATAGTGACTGTTTACCTCAAATCGGTTTTTCACCTGTATGTGTCCTTTCGTGTTTAATTAAAGTTGATTTTTTAGTAGTCTTATAATGGCAATAGTTACATGAGAACGGTTTTTCACCTGTATGTGTCCGTATATGTCTAATTAAATTATGTTTTTTAGCAGTCTTGTAATGACAATAGTTACATGAGAACGGTTTTTCACCCGTATGTGTCCTTTCGTGTCTAATTAAAGTTGATTTTTGAGTGGTCTTATAATGGCAATAGTTACATGAGAACGGTTTTTCACCTGTATGTGTCTTTTCGTGTTTAATTAAAGTTGATTTTATGGTGGTCTTATAATGGCAATAATTACATGAGAACGGTTTTTCACCTGTATGTCTCCGTATATTATTATGTCTAATTAAATCTGATTTTACTGCAGTCTTGTAATGGCAATAGTTACATGAGAACGGTTTTTCACCTTTATGTGTCCGTATATGAGTAGTTAAATTACCTTTTAATGCGGTCTTGTAATGACAATAGGTACATGAGAATGGTTTTTCACCTGTGTGTATCCGTACATGTTTAATTAAATCTGATTTTACAGCAGCCTTGTAAAGACAATAGTTACATGAGAACGGTTTTTCACCTGTATGTGTCCGTATATGTTTAATTAAATCTGATTTTACAGCAGCCTTGTAATGACAATAGTTACATGAGAACGGTTTTTCACCTGTATGTGTCCTTTCGTGTTTAATTAAAGTTGATTTTTGAGTGGTCTTATAAGGGCAATAGTTACATGAGAACGGTTTTTCACCTGTATGTGTCCGTATATGTTTAATTAAATCTGATTTTAAAGCAGCCTTGTAATCACAATAGTTACATGAGAACGGTTTTTCACCTGTATGTGTCCTTTCGTGTTTAATTAAAGTTGATTTTTGAGTAGTCTTATAATGGCAATAGTTACATGAGAACGTTTTTTCACCTGTATGTATCCGTATATGTTTAATTAAATATGATTTTACAGCAGCCTTGTAATGACAATAGGCACATGAGAATAGTTTTTCACCTGTATGTGTCCGTATATGAGTAATTAAATGAGATTGTACAGCAGTCTTGTAATGACAATAGGTACATGAGAACGGTTTTTCACCTGTATGTGTCCGTATATGTTTAATTAAATCTGATTTTAAAGCAGCCTTGTAATCACAATAGTTACATGAGAACGGTTTTTCACCTGTATGTGTCCTTTCGTGTTTAATTAAAGTTGATTTTTGAGTAGTCTTATAATGGCAATAGTTACATGAGAACGGTTTTTCACCTGTATGTATCCGTATATGTTTAATTAAATCTGATTTTACAGCAGCTTTGTAATGACAATAGGCACATGAGAAAAGTTTTTCACCTGTATGTGTCCGTATATGAGTAGTTAATTGAGATTGTACAGCAGTCTTGTAATCGCAATAGTTACATGAGAACGGTTTTTCACCTGTGTGTATCCGTATATGTTTAATTAAATATGATTTTGCAGCAGTCTTGTAATGGCAATAGTTACATGAGAACGGTTTTTCACCTTTATGTGTCCGTATATGAGTAGTTAAATTATATTTTAATGCGGTCTTGTAATGACAATAGGTACATGAGAACGGTTTTTCACCTGTATGTGTCCGTATATGTCTAATTAAATTTCCTTTTTTAGCAGTTTTGTAATGACAATAGGTACATGAAACCGGTTTTTTACCTGTATGTGTCCTTTCGTGTTTAATTAAAGTTGATTTTAGGGTGGTCTTATAATGGCAATAGTTACATGAGAACGGTTTTTCACCTGTATGTGTCCTTTCGTGTTTAATTAAAGTTGATTTTTGAGTGGTCTTATAATGGCAATAGTTGCATGAGAACGGTTTTTCACCTGTATGTGTCCGTATATGAGTAGTTAAATTACATTTTAATGCGGTCTTGTAATGACAATAGGTACATGAGAAAGGTTTTTCACCTTTATGTGTCCGTATATGAGTAGTTAAATTACATTTTAATGCGGTCTTGTAATGACAATAGGTACATGAGAACGATTTTTCACCTGTGTGTATCCGTATATGTTTAATTAAATCTGATTTTACAGCAGTCTTGTAATGACAATAGTTACATAAGAACGATTTTTCACCTGTATGTCTCCGTATATGAGTAGTTAAATGAGCTTTGTATGCGAATGTTTTCGAGCAATGTTCGCATGAGAATGGTTTCTCGCCCGTGTGCACACGTCTATGGCGTTTCAACCTCGCATTACTTGGGAA